ATGCTGTTTTTACATCTTCACCTATGCAGGTCTGTTATCGGGATCTGGGATGAAACTCTAAGCGGCAGTGTGGAATATGTGCGTTTCGTTAGATTAACATCCGCCAAGCAGCATTACGCAGTTTCGCTTTGTTTCTTTTTCGCAGTTCAGTCACAGAAGTTACTCCGAGAGGGCTAACATCTCTGGACTTGGTTTTTTGTGAATGTTAGGCGCTGGCATACCCTGTGCACTTGCTGCTTTTTGTTCTCTGTTCATGTCACGTTAAAACATGGCATCACCATTCACATCCAATAAAAGCATTTATTGTGTGCTGGCTATTAAATTCTCTGGTCACATCTAAGCCGTTGAGTCCATCGGCCATCGGCTAGTACATTGCTGAGGCGCATACGCTGGTGGTTAATGTATGTGGATTGGAATTAGAATTCCCGGGATGGTTAGGGCTTGGCGGCCGTTCCTATTGGGCGCTTCGCATGTGCGGTGAAGTAGTTCACCTGGTGAATGAAGCCAGTTCTTCCTCTTAAGTGTTGGCTGCCTTTGCTTTTTCATTTATGAAGTGAAAGTGCGCTCGCTTGCAGCAGTGTTATTGCACGTGAAAGCAGCCTTTACCACGATGCTTAGCACATCCTGCTGATGCTCGGCAGCTTTTATTTCCTCGCGTTTATACTCATCATTTGTCACTAACGCAGCATTCCACTCGGCGAATCAGTCCTTGCTGGATCCTGGTGAAATTTATAATATCAGCTTCGTATTTATGGAAAGTAGTGTCCGCTAATCGCGCAAGCTTCCCGAAGAGAAACAATTGTTGTCCCTTAGTGATAGCATTAGCGTGATTGCTCCCTCCAATAGAAGTTGAGTCTGCAAGAGTAACGATAGTGCTTTGTACGTGCTGTAGTGTGCTGGATATAGATGCTTGGGAGCCCAATGTTTCGTAACACATTTGTAGTTTTTGTTGCTGTTTTTTGAATTTGGTTCAGCCACAGCGCCTGAATAATTTATGTCTTTTTCAGTGTTGAACCGCCTTGGCTGTGCAATCTCTGCATGTCGCATGTCACGTGTGGTGTGATATAATGCGATGACAAAGGTAGTGAGCTTCGGGAAAAGCAATGCGCGTGAACTATTTCAAATTGCGCAAAAATAGGCAGCATACGCTTGTGGAGGAGCCTAAGATATGCAAGAGCCATGAGTATGAGTGCTGATTGTCATCACATATGTTGTAGGTGTAGTTCTCGTATGGTGTGGTGTCACTAGTCGTTTTTGCTTTAGCAGCCATAGCCATTTTGATTTATCTTGCAGCACTGATGTCAGCATTAGCTTTGCCGCGTTCAGACATCATCAATGCCCAGCCGATTGGTGCGTGATGCTTTTGCAGTACACGTGCAGCTTCAAATGTGTTCAAGCTAGTCAACAAACATTTGATGCTTCACTTGTCAGAGTCGTGAGATTTCAGTGCACAAATATTTGAGGGCAAGAGGGTTAACAATGCTCATCAACTTCAGCGCTAGCCGTGCGTCTCTTGCACAATTCCCAGTGTGAAACCGACAAATGAATACAGCTGTGTCACAGTCGATCTTGAGCAGCATTTTGGTGCCTTTTGCTAGTATTAACCTTTTCATTAGCTCTTCTGTGTGAGTGGCTGCCGCGTTTGAACTGATTAATATACAGATGTAGTCAATAACGGAGGCCACACCGGCGTTTGGCGAATGTAACACCTCGAAATGATTATTTTCGTGGATGGCGAGTGGCAGCATGTGTTTTTTCCGGGGCAGCAAGAGCCCCGAGTTTCCTGCTGCCGCTGTTGCTGCTGCCGCTGCACCAGCGGGGCCCGGGCCCAGCCCCCCAGGTATAACAGTACCAGATCTTAGCTTCTTCGAGCCGTCATCCCCATGAAAGCACCAGTACGATCATAGCAAGGTTGAATGACTGGGCGAATGACATGTGGCATGTCAAGCTGATTGCCTCTATGGCAGCTCTTAAAGCCTCGGAAGCTGCATCATTCTTCACTAGTCACATGGCGTCAACGCGACTGCCAGTGTCACCTGCTGCCTGCAAATCTGGGTAGTCGGCGATTTGTTGGGATGCTAGTTTCACAGAGTAAGGTGAACAGGCCGAAACGGCTCTCGCATTTTGCTGCGAAGCTTTACCAGAGCACAATTTGCAAAGACGTGGCGTTCGAACTTGTGTCACTGCTCCTTTCAAGCAACACAAGCGCACGTCTTAACGATAAGCACAAGGCGAGGAAAGGCATCTAGTTACACTACAGACGTAACGCCGATGCACATGGCCCCAGAAGCACTCTTGCCTTTGCAGTTTGCGTAACGTGCACGATTGCGTGTTTGGGCCCGTTTAGAATGTGAGATGCTGAAGACCTCACATGACCAGAATGTTAACCCATAGCTTGCTAGCATGAATACACCCTCTTCCCGTGCCAGAGTGCCCTCCTGAGAAGAACAGAACAGTCAGACAGGAATCAAACGTTTTCTCGTAACTACATTGAAAACGTCAACGCACGCTTGTTTGTGATCGAGGGTCGACGTGAGGGAGCTACGGAGTTTCCCTCTACCGAACTCTGCTAACGAGAATCGTAACGGGTACAAAAGTTAAGCTCTAAACATTAGATCCTTAGCAAGCCTCTAAGGCTGCTTCTACACACTGACCAATGGAGGTCTGTTATCGGTATTCCGGGCAAAGCTATGGATAGAAGATAGAAGCTTGGTGTCCATGCAGTTCTTAGATTAGGAACCACATGAAGTCTTGATGCGTTACGAATCATTTTTGCAGCTTGAACGCGTAGGTTTCTGACAAGCAGGTGGCGCTTTTTTGCGTTCTAGTTTTAAGAAGACCTCAATTCCTCGCATGCCCTGTGGGGCTCCTGAACTTTGTCCCCTGTTTACGAAAAGGTGTTGCTTTTCCACCATCAGTGTTACATAATAGGCTTTGGGTTCTGAGTTGTCCTGGCGGTTACAATATTTTTTGGCCAAAAGCAAAGCATATATGCCATTATGCGTCGACTATTAGCACAAGGCTGACCCCGACGCCCTACTGAAATCAACGGCGCCGAAGCTTCCAGATGGCATTCCGCATGATTGGTGAGACTGGTACTAGTTCTGATTATAACTATTTCGCATGTGGTGAGCACCATAAGCAGTGCATTTCTTCCAACAGAGGCGATTTCGCATGTGGTGAGCACCATTAGCAGTGCACCTTTTCCAACAGAGGCGATTCTCTCTTTCACAGGAGCTTCACTTACTACTTTCCCGATATTTGGCGTAAAAGTGTGATTGCAAACGCCGTCTCGACAGTGCGAAGTAAAGGAACAGAATATCTTCCCAAGCAAGTGCATCCTGGAATACAGTTGCTCAACGAATTCCGTCTTGGTTTGGAACAATTCACATTTTTGAGTTTGTGGAGGGATGAACTTTTGTTTGTCCCAACTGATGGTCGTGCCACTAACTCAGCATTTAGAAAAAGACGTTTCAGCTGACTTTGAACTTTGAAAGCGTTTCAGTAAGAAGTGGTCATTTTTCGTATAAGCGTGGCGCTTCCAAAGCTAATCGTTCATCAAGCGTCATCTTTGTATAGGCGCATTTGCACATTTGTAGAGAGCTCGGCACCGCTAGGAGATGGGGTTCAGCGCAAGTGGAGTGTCACAATTCTCATGCTGTGCAAATCTTTTCTAGATGGTTAATCAAATTTTCACTCGTGTTCGCCAAGAACAGCAGAACCAATTTAAAGTGTTGCAACTTGTGGTGTGGGTTGTTTGCAGCTCATTTTGGCATTATTTCGTCAAGTTTGCACTGCTCGATTGTTTGTATTGCATCTGAATATTGGGCAAGTGAAGGATATGCTTAGAGCGATTACTAAGGGTTTCACTGTGCAGGTCATGTGACTCGCTAGAGATTTACGTCATGTTTGTCCGCCAGAACCCAATCTATGATCAATCATCCCTTCTAACTAGTGCGCGCATCGTTGCTGCTGGTGAGGGCGCGTAACAGGCGCATATGAGATTTGTCGATAGAAACTAATTCAGTGTGCAAAGTACACGCCACGGCATTTGGATCTGTAGGAGGTGTGTCTGACCTTTACAAGCGGTCGATCAATTTCCTAACATTGTCGTTATTTCGGAGCAGCACTCCGCAAACGTCGTCCTTCTCTGTTGTTTCCGGTTTCTTTTGTTTCCTCTTCATGCATTGTTCAGCTCCCCTTGCAGAGGCTTTCAGCTCTCCGCATGTCTTCGTGACTTTGTTCTTTGCCTAGGTAGCGCCAAAGACCATCCAGTCGGCCATGTTCCTCTGCTAGGTAGTAACTGGAATCAAGGGTTTAATCTTCGTCACTATGGATTCTGTTGCACTGGGTAGGCTCGCGATTAGCTTGCCACAATTAAGTAAGTTATGTAGATACCCAAGCACGCTGCTGACGATGGCGCTACCGCGGAGCTCAGAGAGAAATTGGCTTTTTTCCCGGTGATCTGTGAGTCAAGAGCTTTTTGTCTCTGCATGACTCTCAACATCCCCTTTCTCCTGTGACGGCAGTCTATCGCTTCATCTTGCAGCATAGCCCATGCTCGATCACAGAACAGTACAATAGGCCGGTGCGCTGGCTGTTACGGAGCATTTCATCATGCTTCCAAGATTTCGCCGCGTTGCTCATAGTTGGTACGGTTATAGATCCTGCAAGTCCAATTTTTTGTCAAAAAGGACACAGTTGGAAGCGAAGTGTGTATAACTGTGGTGCGATTGCCGTTAACCCTATCTTGTAGGCGCTAGATGCTGATGCGTCCCGCATGCAGAGCCAGCAGCAGCAGCAGCAGCAGCAGTGCTACCACTGCTTCCGTAAAGGCTGCAGCAGCAGCAGTGCTGCCACTGTTTCCGTAAAGGCAGCTCGGCTGGCCACATTTCACGGGTTGTGGACTAGACGGAGCGCAAAATTTATTACTGAAAAAGGAATCTCATATTTCCCATTTATAAGCCGCAAGCGAGAACAAAAGCAGTGAGCATGGATCTTCACGCTGTTATCCATGCAGTGAGTAAGCGTCCTCCAGTATCAAAAGGGACGTCACTTCTGTACAGCCTGAACAGTGACAGCATTCAACACACTTTTTTTTTCAGATTTGCGGGCTACGTTGCTTTATTTTTTTAATTTGTTCAAAGGAACAAAACTTGCACTCAATTCATACAGTAATGAATACTTTTTCAGTTCATGCTTTAATGCCGATGTTGTAGGCTATACGATTTACTCTTCAAGCCTTAGGAATTAGGATTCACAAATCAGGGTGCAGGGTTTGCTGTCAAGGCGTTCATGGATTATGCTTTACGGTATACCCTTTAGGGTCTACAATTAGGCTTTAGGGTTTAGGGTTTAGGGTTTAGGGTTTTTTAGGGTTTAGGGTTTAGGGTTTAGGGTTTAGGGTTTAGGGTTTAGGGTTTAGGGTTTAGGGTTTAGGGTTTAGGGTTTAGGG